CCCAAACCCCTAACCCCCAAACAACCCCGCAGCGCCGCCGCAGCGGCGGCAGCCTGCGGCGTGGCGCGCAGCAGCCGCCGCGCGGCGCCGCGCAGCCCCTGCGCGGCGCGCGGCAACGAGGGCTTAGGGTTTAGGGTTTAGGGTTTAGGGTTTAGGGTTTAGGGTTTGGACCTGGATGGGAATGCCGTTGGGGACTGCGAAGGGACTCGCGTGCCGCCGCAGCAAAGGCGCCAAGGGAGAACTCTGCACTTTTGTGTCTCCTTCCTGCAGCAGCTCTTGGCGGTAAGAAGGAGACACAGTGCCCCAGGAGTCGCACTGCAGCAGCACGCACCTGCAGCAGCGCAAACCCGCAAACCCTAAACCCTAAACCCTAAACCCTAAACCCTCGCTTCGCCGGCGGGCGCCGACGAACGGCCGCCGCGCAAAGGCGCTCACGCAAACCCTAGACGCCACAACCGCTTTGTCGAAACCCTCGGCCGAGTGCTCCAAACGCCCCCTCACCCCAAACCCTAAACCCTAAACCCTAAACCCTAAACCCTAAACCCTAAACCCTAGGGCCGCAGCCCCACCTCGAAGGGTTCACAACGTGGTTGTGCCACAGAGGGTCCACCAGCAGCTCTGAGGGAAGCTGATGCAGCCAGTAAGCATCTTCTTTTTTGTTCATGTAGATGCGCCCTGAAGCCAAACCCCAAACCCTAAACCCTAAACCCTAAACCCTAAACCCTAGGAGCCAATTTTGAGCCCCCAACACTGCGCAGCAGCGCCACTACTTGCGCAGCAGTCTTCAAACGCATCCTGTAGCTAACTCAGCTAGCTGGCTAGTTAGCTCCCAGCTAGCTGGCTAGCTAGCTCCCAGCTAGCTGGCTAGCTAGCTCCCAGCTAGTTGGCTAGCTAGCTCCCAGCTAGTTGGCTAGCTAGCTCCCAGCTAGTTGCCTAGCTAGCTCCCAGCTAATCCAGCTAGTGCGCTAGCTAGCTCCCAGCTAGCTGCACAGCCTCGTGGTTGCAGCGCCCTCTGCAGAGCCTCCTCAGCCCATCCAGAGCTAGCTAGCTAGCTGGCTAGCTAGCTAGCTAGCTTGCTTGCTGGCCATCTGGCTGGCTAGCTGGCTGGCTCGCTAGCCAGCCCGTAGGCTACGTCCAGAGTCCCGTCAGCTGCAGGCAGACTTGGCTAGCTGGCTGGCTAGCTGGTTGGCTAGCTGGCGAACTGCTCCCACAGCTGGGCTGTTTGGCTAGCTGGCTAGCTGGCTAGCTGGCGAACTGCCCCTGCAGCTAGCCAACCTCTCCCGGCAGCCACGAAAACGACGCTGCAGCTAGCTAGCTTAGCTAGCCCGCTAGCTAACTAGCCAGCTAGCTAGGCAGCCAGCTAACTATCTTGGCTGGGTAGATAGCTAGCCAGCCAGCTAGCCAGCTAGCTAGCGAGATAGCTAGCCAGCTAGCTAGCCAGCTAGCTAGCGAGATAGCTAGCCAGCTAGCTAACTAGCGTAGCTAGCCAGCTAGCTATCCAGCTAGCTTGCCAGCCAGCTAACTAGCGTAGCTAGCCAGCTAGCTAGCTAGCTAGCTAGCTACTTGCCTTCGTAGTTGGGGTCTAAGTTGTGGATGATGTGGAAGAAAGTGCTGTTTTCAAAAGTGGAGCCGAAGAAGCCGTTTTTGGCGTAGGCGGGGATGAGAGATGTGGGCCAGTCGTTGGTCACAATTAGCTGCACGCGCAAACCCTAAACCCTAAACCCTAAACCCTAAACCCTAAACCCTGTGCAGCCCCCTGACGCTGCGCGCAGGCTGCAGAGTCAACAGCAAGAAAAGGCACAGTCGACCGACTTCCATTAACCAGCAAGCGCAGCGAAGAACCGCAAACCCTAAACCCTAAACCCTAAACCCTAAACCCTAAACCCTTGCGGACTTGCGGAATTATACGCTCGTGGCAGAGAAGCTCCAGAGCGCCCTTGGCAAACGTCACCAGCATTCTGCGGCCTCCGCACCCAGAACCCTAAACCCTAAACCCTAAACCCTAGACCCTAAACCCTAAACCCGCAAACCCTTGCAGCCAGAACCCGCGGCAACCGGAATATGCGGCCAAAAGCTGCTGCAGCAAATCAGCAGCTAGCGATAGCCGGAAAAAACACTGATTGGTGGTTTAGGGTTTAGGGTTTGTGGTGCATGCAGCGTAGAGAACAGGGCTGGCGTGGCGAGCCAGCCGCGGACCCCTGAGGGTTTGAGGCATGGAGTTGGAGGTTTAGGGTTTACAGCTGGGAACCCTAAGCTAGGGTTTAGGGTTTAGGGCTTACAGCTGGGAACCCTAAACTAGGGTTTAGGGTTTAGGGTTTAGGGTTTAGACCCACCTGATGGCGTCTATGCCATAAAACTCAGGATAAGGCTGAGGGAAAATGGAGGCGTGGTGAATGAAATAAAGCTGCACATTTTTGACTACGCAGCCCCGGTGGATGCCTGCGCCAAAACCCTAAACCCTAAACCCTAAACCCTAAACCCTAGGCCGCAAGCTCTGAACTCTAGACCCTTAATGACAAACAATACAAAGCTCTAGGGTCCGGGTTCTTATTCGCATCAACAACGGCGCCTGAAGACGAAGGGTTTAGGGTTTACATAGGCCCTTTTAGGGTTTAGGGTTTATGGCGGATTTTCTAGGGTTTGAAGCTTATGGAAACCTTCCTAGGGTTTATGGTAGGGTTTAGGGTTTATGAAGGCTCTTATAACTTGGGTTTGAAAGGAGCCTCCTCAGCGTCTGGGGCTTACCCGCCACCCCTAGGGTTTAGGGTTTATGGGGGCCTCCCTAGGGTTTAGGGTTTATGGGCCTCCCTAGGGTTTAGGGTTTATGGGGGCCTCCCTAGGGTTTAGGGTTTATGGGGGCCTCCCTAGGGTTTAGGGTTTATGGGCCTCCCTAGGGTTTAGGGTTTATGGGGGCCTCC